CTTGATCCCAGCATGCTTTAAGGGAACGTCTTCCTCTACACACTGCAAAAGGCTCTTGCCAAGCTTCTGCTATTTGTGAAACTCACTGTTAGGGTATGGAAGGCAACCATAAGGATATGGTTCCTCACCTTCTTTTAGTCATTTTTTTTAGCGGGTGGATGTATTTCTCCAGCATATTAATACATTGAGTGAATTAATTTCCTCCCTTTTCTCTTCTCTTCCTTTCCTACAGCTCTATTCTGTCTGTTAAACTGAGAAAAGATGAGGGACTGCTGGGCTTCTGCAGTACAGACAGCGCTCCAGCAGTTCAGCTGACTTGAAACTGACACCAGCCTTAAGAAACATCAGCTAAAAACCAACCTACAACCTTCAGGCCATCCAGTTACGCTCAGAGTCAACTACGTGGGTATGGAGGTAACATCACTTACCTGTCACAAGCAGTCGTGCAGAATTAGTGTCGCCGCAGCACTTCAAGAAGCATGAAGATTCAGTCGCTCTTCATTCCTCATTTTTCTCCATTTCCTGCTTTACCGGTATAACTTGGTTCTTTTTAGTATTTCAGCAAAACAGGGTGTGATGGTGATCCATTGATAAACCATGACACATCTCCCATCTACACACACACGGATATCATGAGACTACTTCAAAGCAATCCAAGGCCACCTCACTTTTTATCCATTTTTCCCCTTTATAGGGTACTGAGATGCAATGGGGGATTGTTCCATAGGGAGAGTATTAAAACAGTAACAAAACACACTTGGCCTTTCTCAGGCTTGGGAATTTATACCTGTCAGTGCAGCTGTTAGTATAAACATTGCCATACTTTTAAAAAACCCTAAAATATATCACTGTTTTAAGGTGGTTAGTTTTCCCAACAGACAAATGCAACACTTTTTTACACCAGGCAGCTATTTAGTTCCCCAGTTCTGAGAGTTAAGGAGAGCCTTTGCAGGTTTATTCTTCTTTCTACACCACAGATACTAAGACTTGGACTGCTTGATGTAAGTTTCACTTAAAATTCAAACCTATCCTGAAGTTGAATTCAACTCCAAAAGCTATTATTTCACTAGTTCCTCAGAGGAGTCGTCCACACTCCTGTGCTCCGGCTTCCTTGCTGCTGTGTCCCCTTGGCACTGCGCTCCTGGTTGCGTGCTGCCACAGCCCAGCCCTTCCCTGCTGTGGATCGCTTCATCCTCAGACCCTTTGGGTCAGCCAGCAGGAACCTGGCTTCAGGTGATGCCTCAGGAGACTGCAGCGAGCAATCTGTCCATCTTCCCTGCTTCCCTGATTTCTCAGCATGTTATGACCATGGCCTCATAGCTAATCTAAAAGGACCTCTTGAATTCAGTCAGGCTCCTGAGGTCCGAAGGATGAAGCCCTTCCCCAACAGCGGTGGTGCATATCTGAATTCCAGTCAACACAAGCACATGTTGGTACAAACCATTTTTTATTTCACATCTCCTTGCCACAGCTATCATTGAAACAACTGACATTCGTATTTTACAGGTACCATAAAAACTTACAAAGTGTAAAATATTCTCACAATGTAAAAATTCTTGAAAATCGATGTGTAGAAGTTTTCTGTAAACAGAATTTGGCAGAGAAATGTTCACCTACAAGGAACAGGCAGGCACACTGGAGAGGCAGCGTTTGCATGGTACAGAGGCAGAGTTATCTATCTTATTGACAGACGACTGGCCTCCCTGGGATTACCTGTGTCATTAAAAGGCACAAAGAGAAACACACCACAAAGCAGGACCCAGTAAGAGTGGACATCCCACCAAAGCTCTGAGCACTACTTGATTCTTCTAATCACAGCTGGAGGAGCAGGGTGTCACCATTCCTACTACCTGCCTGCTCTTGCTTAGTCAAGTTGCATGAACTGCGACCAAAGACTGCGTTGATGCTAACTCTAACACACATGGGGGGGCTCCTCAAGGCTGCAGCAGTGGCGGCAGGATCGGTGCCTGCACTAGCCACAACTGCTCTACAGCTTCCAGGGCTCTGGCCTTTAGGCTCAGGATCGCAGGGCTGTTTGACAAATCCACACAGTAATACAGAGGTAAATATTTTAGGTGGCACCATGCTTATCAGGTTTAGAGATTGATATTCTATTTTAAAATAGTCCTAGACACACTAGACAATTTGTTAATAAAAGGTAGTTTGGAGGGACTGTCATAAGCAATATGCAGCAGCTATTGAGCAACAATATATATTTAAGTAGCTCAGAGATTTTGTTTTCCTTTTTTCCCTCCATCTTCCTCTGTTACAAAACAATTAAAATTTCAGTAGTCAGAGTAACACAATCCCTGCTTGTTCTAACTGTGCTAGTTATGGATGGTATTCAGAGCCCATAAATAATTTTCTCACAGAATTCAGAAGTAAGCCTGTTTGTTTCTGGACCTGATACTGCCCCAAAGTCAGTACCCTTATATTCCCTAGAAGTTTTGGCTAATTTGATCAACAACAATCCATTGTTACTTCTCATCCTCAACTCAACGCTAATGCTTTTAAATTTACATCCTGAGCTGCTATATCATTAAGGTAATAGGTAAAAAGTAGACTGAGAATGAGAGGAAATATCTCATTAGAGCAGATGATATAGGAGAGAACAGTCTGACACGGACTCCAAATTCTTCTTTCATGAATATACATCAGCACTACTCATCAGGGCAGGCAGCAAGAAAACAAATCCAAAGGAAATTTCACACAGCTGACAAAGCAAAAATGACTGCTCAGGGCTCATCACTCACTACAGTCCTCGGGACCCTAGAGACCTCTCCCCAGCTATCAAACCTGCCGTGTTTCACCGCCCAAGATGCATGCCCTTCCAAGAGCTGGAACAGTCCTGATCTTGAGCTCGTGTCAAATAGGCACAGTCACAGTTCTTCCTCTTCTCCAGCCCTGCTCCTAAAAGCTGTTTTTGCTGAATGATAAGCCACTACTCAATATTTTGTATGCACAGATAGTCCCTCAGAGATCTTAACCCAGGGAAAGACAGACAGAGAGTGAGGAAGTAAGATGCCTACACCACAGTGATCATCAGGCTGCAAAAGCGCAGGCAGGGAGGGCAAGCACACGTGGCACCAGGACAGCTCAAGTCGAGGTGAATTGTGAGCACATAGACCACAGTCTGTCAGGGAAGAGGGTGCTACTTCTTCAGACATCATGAATTCCAGCCCAGGCTCCCAGAAAGACATCTTTCATCCTAGAGAAAGCGAGAGCAGGATTCCCTCGCTCAGTGCTGGTCACCCCTGAATGACAGATAGGCACTAGAAGGCACAGGTCTCCTAAGAAAACCAACCTGTTGCTGGAGGTTGTTTTGGAGCACATCAGATCAACATACATCCGCTCTGTCAGACAAACATTTAATTGGCTTTGGGGCTTTAGTTCATTAGGAATCCACTCCATAGGAGTTGAGATATTTCCACTCTTTTTCTTTAAAAACCTTCATCTTGCTAAGATCTTTTCTTTCCAGAGTTTTAACTTTTTCCGAAAGTCCCAACTGTGTTTCTTCTAAGGAGACTCCAGCTCAGCAAGCACACAATGCGTCCAGTGCCTTTGTGGAGCCAGTGCTGCTGTTCCTGAAGCACCTCAGTGCTGAACTGGCCCAGCTGCAGATGCCCCAGGCTTCCTAACAAGCCTGTGCATGTCCTGTCAGAGCACCTAACTGATGTAATATTCAGGCACTAAACCTGCTTAAAGAAAACCAAACACTTCAATAAAACCAGATCTGCAAAGTCCACGTGCAGTCAGAGAGCATTTACGAATACAAGGATTTATCTCGTAAAAAAAAAATCAGTAATATACTGTAATTCTCTTTACACACCATCAACTCCAAGACCTAGGAATTTTAACTGAAAAAGAGTTTGGCTAAGAATTTTTTTCTTTACTTTACTTTTCTTAAATGGATATCCACATTTAGGATAAACCTTCTCACGAATTTAGGCCCCTGGTTTGTATACAAAGCATCCTCTTAACCTGCTGCACCCTAGAGCTGTGCCCACACTGCCTTGGCAGTTACAGCCGTGTCACACTATGGCACAACTTTCCACATACTTCCACACATCTATCAGTGGGTAAGAAAAAGGCATATATCAAGCACACTTTCCTTGGTGATGTTTCAGAACCAGACTGAACAAACTGGTCTCCCCTTCCTTTGGTGGATGTGCTTGGCATATGACCATTTTTAATTTGCACAAGATGTAAAGTTCACATGATTCCCCCACTAGCTTCCTTGGTACGCTTCTCCTGTCCTGTGCGGGCCATCTCCTCTGAGGCTAGAACTACCAAACAAAGCTGCTTCATCTTCCAAACTGACGATCCAAAGTAGAGCTTGTCCAAAAATGTCCCATCATTCAGTGCTTCCCACCACCCAGTGTATACATGCACACAGAAAACTCAAAACACTGTTCTCCCCCAAACAGAGGGTTTGCTCTCCTCCATAACTTGGACAGACCACCTTTGCTGATATCCTATTCAGGGCAGAAAGTGCCTATTTATTCTTGAATTCATATGTAAATAGCTTGTCACAGCCATCTGCTGAAAACATACACCACCACCTTCATGGGAGAGCAGCAGAGTTTTCTGATATTCAGAGAACAACTTGATGTCATGTTTGATACATGCTGGTAAGTCTCTCAATTGCTAATCAACAGACTTCTCGGGTTTATACTTTTCCTGCTCATGATCTCATGCTGGGGCAACTTCCTCTGCACAAGCTATGGTTAGGTACCATGGTGGTAAGAACATCTGTGTGGAGTCTCTCACTAGCAGGCAACTGACAACTCAAAACAGTACTGGCTTCGAGGCTCACACCCTAAGGATTTTTTTCCCCTCCTAGAGTAAGATTAAAATCAATAAATCATCTAATAATCCCTTCTTAAAACTATTCCTTACACAAGGATAATTACAGATTGCAAAATACAGATTGCAAGAAAGACACCTTTCAGCATACACTGTTTCTTTCCATGAGATTTGGAATTAGAAATTGTAATTCACTACTCAAAGATGAGAGATTTATGCTCAGGGATCCCATAGTTTCTTTTGTGTTCTTCAAATAATTTTCTTAGTTTCTGTAGGTACAATGCATGGAGCTGTTCGATCTCTTCAGTGGTGGGGTTCAAGTTCTGCTTTACAGGGATGGGGCTTCCCACTGTAAATCAAAAGCAACAGCAGCATTAGCTTCATTGATGTCTTTTTGAGTAGAGCTGCTCTCCCACCTGTAACAGCCCCGCCACAGCTCGCAGAGAGATAGCAGAATCACAGCACAATTCTCTTGTCCTGGGGCCTGATCCTGCCTTTCACAAACCTCAGTCCTAGGTCCACTTCCTTTCATTCAAGTTCAGATAAAACAAATTTTAAAACCCAATCATTTCAGTTTGGCAGCAAAAGAGAAATGAGAAAGGGCTTAAGCTCTAACTTGAAGGAGCAGTTTATACTTCAATATACAATCCCATGGGCTGTGTGCTTGTCTTGCCATCGAGATTGTACTCCACAAGTTCAAAATAGCATTTAAAAAAATGTACCTTCTCACTGTCTTCTGTTCTGATCTGAACACTAAAGGTATTTGATGTGAGGGACACGTCTAAGAGGACAGTGGTGCCCTCAACCACAAAGCCACGTGAACAGGGCTGAAGGAAATACAGCTATCCTCAGATTTATTCCAAATGGTATTGCTGCACCAGCACTAGAAATGTTGTTGGCTACTTCAGCCTAGGGAGCAGTAGCACTTAAAACCCCCAGACTCTGTAAGGTGTCTCTGAACCATCCATTGCCGACAAATATAATTCCAACTGAACCGTTCTCCAGGCCTGAGGCACAGCACAAAGCCTGCTACCTGCTCTATCGAGCAAGAGCAAGAGGGAGCATGGCAGGTAATTCCATAGAAGTCCAGAGGGCAGCCTCCTTTTCCTCTGCAAAAATATATGGCTAAAAAGCCTGTGACACGCTAAGAGAAGCTTCCCATGATCTCAGTCTTCCTTGTGTTGTTCGATCACTACAGATTTTGACAGCTGTTCTTGCACTGGAGTCACTGACAGCTTCATAGATCTGTCCGAGATTACAGAGGAAGTCTGTAGAAAAGCACAGTTAAAAGCACCCCCAGGAGCTTTTACAAAGGCCCCTGAAAATCTCTCTCTCAATAGATGCTGCCACTTCAAATTGGATGGTGTTGACTAAAGGGAAGGGAAGTCTAGCCAGAACTGCAAAGGGGCTGATTCTGCAGGTTCCTGCTGCAGCTTTGGCTGCCAAGAGCTCTCAAGCCCTACACGGTGCTGAAATTCAGCCTTTACGTGGCATGGGGTGGGAACCCAGCCCTGGATTGAGCAATCAATACCTTAGTGGGGGTGAAATCAATACATATGTTCAATACAGGATTTCCAGAAGCATAACTGGAAACACCAAAAGACCCCTGCAAGCCTTTCTGCAGCAGTCTTTTCTCCTAAGAGCAGACACTTCATGTGGAATTGGAAACTACAGTCACCTTTCCAATTTTGAGCGGTTTTAAGCAAACCTGCTTAATTTGATATTTTAGAGCCAATTCTAGTTCTGAAAAGCAGTAATAATTTTCAGGGAAAACCAAAATTACTTCACTTGCCAAGCCCAAAACACTCAGACATTAGGAACCTTGGTTTTGCCAAATTGCATCTCCTTGCTTTAGGAACCATGGCTTCTGAAACGGAAGGAAACTTGCCAATACCCGGCCACGTTGTCAACACGGCTAACCGGCTCGGGTGGAGCTCAACGTGACTCTGCAGCTTCCAGGTGCTGAGCAAACACTTGCAAAGCTGCGTTGAGCCATACCGAGGGCCCCTCCAAGAATGCAGGGACACGGTAAGGGATTTCATGAGATCATACAACAACTTCTGTTGCAAGACTCTGGTCCTGCTGATTTGAAGCACTCCTGTGCTTTAGCGAGGGACCGCCTCTGTCCTTGCAGTAAATATTACAATGATGAAGATTTGCCTCAAACTGAAAGACATTTTAAGCTTCAGAACAATCTCATCAGCCTAATGAAAAACTGCAGAAAATACATTGTTCTTATTCCAATGCTTTGAAAACTTTTTGGTTTTAAAATAAGTGACATTTTTAGCCCGCCTGTGCACAACGTGGGCTTTAAAAATTAAATCTTTCCTAAAACATTTAACTACGTGCACTGATGAAACACAGATATGCATGAAATTTAACATAAAAAGAGCTACATTTTTGTCTTAAACATTTTTATTTGATCCATCCTAAAAATCAAATCATCCCTCCATTAAAGGGAGGGCCTTCTCAAATAGCAGAAGTGGTATCTGTGGAATACCAGAAAAACTTGGTTTACTTTTCTGTAGAAATAGGCTTCGTTAGTTCACTCAGCTCAGAATCTGGCTAAAAATTATTTATCCAAAATACACAGCCAGCACAACTTTTTTAAAAGGCGTGGTTGAAAATAGCACGAGTTAAAGCCATTAAAAAATCAAAGACATTCAAGTCCAACACTCCAGTGAGAGCAGATGACCAGAGATGACAGCTTTTTGGGGGAAAAATGCTCAGCCGAACTGCCTACTAAGATGGCATGCATGCTCTCAATTAAACATGAACGGACCTTTCCACTGGGGGCAGGGGGGGGAAGGGAAGGAAACACCCTAGGGAGCTGCAATGTCAGCTAAGCAGCAGCCTGCTGAAGAGCTGCGGCAAGGCACCCTCTCCCTTCCCTCCTCCATCTCTTCCCCTGACCCGATGAGCACCGGGTCGGGATTGTATGAGCTCCTTCCAGTAGCCTTGTTCTGGAGCACCACTGCGGTGGCCCTGTGTCAGCTGAAACACTCATCTGCTGCTTCTCTGCAGGGCTAAGAAACGAAGGTGCTGAGCATCTTGCATATAAACTGCAGCATCCAGAATCTGGAGCAACAGCTGCTGAGCTGTGGCAGCCCTCTGGTATGGACTGGATGATCCCTTGGGTTTCCTTGAGGATTGCTGAGGATAGAAGCCTGTGAGTAACTGTGAACAAAGAATAAGATTTGGCCTGGGACAGAAAAGGAAAAGGGAGAAAAGAATCCCCCCTTTTAACTAGGGAAGGACAGGAATTAAAAAAAAGGAAGTATTTATTTTAAACCTCACACACTTGTTCTAGATGCACAGTAACCAATTGCTTCTCTTCGAACAGATTTATAAATTTACACAGATATTAGTAGCACACTTAGCATTTCTAAACATTTGCAGAAGCATTAGGAAAGGCACGGGGAACTTACCAACAGTATGAATAGGTTGCCTGTAAGGTATTAAGCCAAAACTGTATTGAAATACTCCTCTAGCATGAAATAGCGGTAGAGCAAAGCCCATTATCTTTTGCAACTTTTCCTGGACATTTCTGAGCCATGAACCTTTCGGGTTTGCAACTTGCTTGAATAGTTCATTTTCACCAAAGGAAAACACCGGGACGAGATGAGCCCTGGAAAACAATGAACACACTGAGAATCCCACGTCAGCCTCCACTTGCACTGTGGTTCACATCAGCAGCGTGGAAACGGTTTCACAATAACCAGCACAGAAAGCTTCAGCAGCTCTAGACATCATCAGCAACAGGCATTCGACTCCTATGATATGCAGCTGCTTTGGGTTTTGGGGGTTTTTTGGTTTTGTTTTTTTTGTTTGTTTGTTTTTAAAAAGTGATTGACATACAACTAGCTTTTGGGCAGTATTTAGCTGGTTGCTATCCGTCACTACTTTTTACGACTGTTCATAATCATAAAAATGAATAATTGTGTATATAATAATTATAATTATGATCTTATATACCACTATTTCAGCAAGTCCACCCTTATTCCACTGCATTTTCTCCGTTGGCAAGCAAAGAAGCCTCATTGCGAACCTTATAATGCTCCCAGCTGGGCTGTGTCAAAACCAGATCTTGGCTTTCCTCTGCCTGTTGACCGCATTAATGCACGCACTTGATTTCAGCACAAAAACCGTGATAAAAACCAGACATTCTTACTGACATGAGTGCAACGTCAAATAACTCTGCTGTCCAGTTCCCAGTGAAATCCTGCTTCCTCCAGCCTTCTTCGAAAACGCTAGTCTTAATCCATTATTACCAGAGGTCAAATCCTACCCACAGAAATTACACTAACACACTTTGGCTCCTCCACAGCCTAATGAATTCTCATTCAGTTCAGGAACTGGCTTGGGAAGAAAGGCACTGACTAGCTCCTGGATAAACTACTTAGGCAGATGGAATCAGTGCAGTTGTCTCCAACAGGCAAAGCCACCACTATATTTAAACCTTGACTGCAGTATGCTTTTTGATTAATGCTTAGTTTCATTAAATAGTACTCTACAGAGTTTAAAGAAAAAAGAGCAGGGTAATCCTAAGCACTCTCTGAAGGATACAGAGGTGTTAAGTCTTAGCTTCTATATCTTAGCTCCATTCAGCCCACACTGACTTTGAGAAAAATCTTACAGCAAAATAGCAGCATCACTATAATATTGCCAGGACAAATTACTGCAGAGCTCTGAATGCCTGAGCAGGATGCGCTGAGGACAGAGCTGACTGGAAAGTACTATCGACAATGAAAACCCACCTGCATGGAAAAAAACAACTTCTACAGCTTCTCAAGCCTGAGGACTCCCAAAGACTATCGTTCCCACTCACTATTCTGACTAGTATCTGCTCAAAAGATTCTTTCTCAGGTAGAGCATGTATCACCCAGACACCTGTAAAGGAAATATCAGAATGCCTGGTACATACTGTGGCTGTGTAAATACTTCACTTTTTACTACAACACTAAGACAAACAGGAGCATCTTGTGGTGCAATAGGACCCTGAGACTGTGGGATTTGTTTTAATCTGGTGAAGGCTTTTGCAAGATGCTATGTAGGAGGCTGAGACAGAGAAATAAGTAACTTAGGATTGTGAAACTAAAGATAAGTTAGCTGATTCGTCATTTGTTTCATGTCTTTAGGATTTCTTCACTTCATATCAGGTATCTGTACTACTTTGAACCAAAATGACTTTTCCAGAAGCGCAGAGGACTTTTGCTGGCACGTTCAGACCACATTTGACAAGCTCCTAGCTGAGGAACCACAGCTTCTCTGTGCTGGCAGCACAGGAGCCAGGGCCAGATAGCACACGTCTCCGCATTGCCCCTTCCTCTCTTGGTATTTGATGCTGCAGATCACAAGCACCAGAAACATGCATAGAAGCAGTTTTTCTTGCCAGTGCTCTGATCCAGAATGACCTGTAGCCTGGTGGTTCAGGTGACCACGTGTGAGGTGCAGGGGTCAAGTCACTCAGGCAGAGCTAGGCATTATCTCCCCAGCGAAGGGCTCTAGACAACCAAGCCTCTTTAAGAAAGAGGAGATCCACCATTTGAAACAAAGGACATCATAAGGAAAGAAGTGGCCATTCCTGTGTTTTGGAAGTGTCCTGATATTGTTGTTGTGTATTGGGTATGCTTCTGAAATCAAGGCCGAGAGAGGCACAGGTGTATCTAGTTTCTCAATCCAAATCAGTTTAGATGAGAGACAAACACCAACTTTGTGATCTGACAGATCAGACATTAATGGACATGCTCAAAAAAAAAAAAAAACAGCACCTAAATATTCTTTTAAACTTTATGGTTAAAAAATAAAAGTTACGAATAGTGTTTAGGATCCCACTGGGTTAATCAGCGGTTGAGCAGAAATTGAGTAAAGACTCATTTGGGCACTAAAGTCCTAATTTAAATATGCAAGTGTTGTTTCTGGGTACAAATTAGACTAACATGTTACTTTATCAGAGAACAGGTCCTTTATGAGACTCATAATGATATGTATAAGAAACTCCCTTGGAATTTTGACACAGAATAGTTTCTAGAAAAAGATGGACCTTAGAATCTTGTGCGAAAAGCAAGAGCTCTTCTTCTCAGAGATCATCTTTTTTCCAGCTAATAGCTTAAACTGTTACAGATTTTTCAAGACCAATATTTTTTTTCTCATTGTTTCACATGTCAGTATATAATCCTGGGAGCTGTTCAGAAAGCTTAGCAGAAACAAGTCATTGGTTCCAATATTTCCATTACACAAGACATTTAGACCAGTCCAGCATAAACCCAATAGCTTATACTGTTTAAGTCACTCAAGAGATAATACCATCTCTGTTTAGTTACACACTGATGGCTGTTTCATAGCAAAAAGTAACCTAGTTTTTCTTGAGATTTTCACCAAAATTTCCCAGAAACTTACTTTTGCAAATAACAATCTTCAAAAGAAAGTCTAGAGAATAAAGGTGAAAACAAATCTTCCTAGACCACAATTTTCAGTGATTTAATAAAACAGGGCCTAGCTTTCTAATTTTTTTATTTGTTTGATTAAAGTGGTAAGAAAATTCTATCTTACTATAACTTCAATTTATAGAAAACAGAATATCTGCTCCACTCAGCAACAACAGCCAAAGTTTACTAATATTGTTTCATAATTCTTACTCTTTGCCAGTGCAAAAAACAACTGAAACAAAACATCAAGATATGCTAATAACACCTACTGCTTACAAATTATGAAAGTCAAAGCGAGTTTTCAACACTCTCAGATTGAATCCAGATAGACAGGCTGGCTCCTGTGCCAGACATCTGCACGTTCTTAGACAAGTAACTCTTTCAAATTCTAATTATATGCTTTTACTATATGTAATACGAACTATATTTAAGGATCAATCTGTATTCAAAGCATGCTTACTACAGCAGCCAAGATGGGAAACCTACCCGTGTTTCAAGGCCATTTTAATAAAGCCCTTCCTCTTGAGGATGTTCAAAGTTAAACTTCCAGGATGTGCATTCAGAGATTCCTCTGCTCCTCCAATCACGATGACAGACGCGTGGCCGCCTCCTTTGTTATTCAGCACGTACGACACACTCTCCTTGGATGCAGAAACCATTCCTTCAGGAGCAAACATTTTAAGAGTGACTGCTGGATCTTCATGTACAAGTACAGTGGAATTTGAGAAATATTTTTAAATATCTAAACAATGTTTCAAAATTATTACAGCACAGGACAGGGTTCAAAGATTTGGGTGCAACCTCCTCACTCTGCAACATATTTGGTCTTAGGTAAGTCCTTTGATTTCACACTGACAAGCTAAACGCTGTTTGCCTGTCACAGGAGTTTTGAGATCTTCAGGCAAGAGCGTGCTCTTCTGCCAACTTAACTCCCCCTCAGAGAGATTCTGTGCCTGAGAACAGAAGAGTTGCACGACAGCAGACACTGTTGAGAGGCCGCAGCTAAGCCACACAGCAGGGGCACATGAACACAGGCACAGAGGGTTTAACAGAATGAATAGAGGACTTGTGAACTCAAACACGGATCTACAGTGCCAAGCTGATTCCCTTCATTCTTTCCAAAGCTGTAACGCAGCAGCTCCGTCTAAGGCAATGGCACGACGGCATCAGAAGAAGCAGAAAGAGCTCACTTGTACCATTCCCAATGACTGCATCAGCTCATTCTCTGGTAACCAGACCTGGCACTCACCAACCTCTTTAGGCTAAAAGAGCAGAATATATGAAGTTTTCCTGCCACTCCTAATACTTCTAATTAAAGGCACACTGCTGTATAAGCCTTTAGCATCGATTTGGACCTTGCTCTGGACTTGGCGTGTTGGAAAATCCGCTTTCTAACAGATATGCACCTGACCCCTCCAGAGTTCCTTTGTGCTGTAGGTTTTACTTCAAAGGCTCATGGCAGTACCATTTACCCAGAAGCCACGTTTAATTACATTGTGTTGAATCTAAATGACAACCTAGAGATCAAGTCTAGTTATTGGGGGTTTTGGGGTTTCTTTTTTTGGTTTGGGGTTGGTGGGGGGGTTTTTGGTTGTGTTTTATTTTTTAACAGGGCTAGTATCAAAGCATGCTTTTTTAGACACCAAGAAAATATTTCATCCTGTTACCCACTTTATTTTTTTCCCCCATTAGGGACATTAACCTTGACAGGCTGGAGAGGTTGGCCTGTGAGAATCTTATGAAGTTCAACAAGACCAGTGCAGGGTCCTGCATGTGGGTCAGGGCAATCCCAAGCACAAGTACAGGATGGGCAGAGAATGGATTGAGAGCAGCCCAGAGGAAAAGGACTTGGGAGTGCTGGTTGATGAGAACTCAACATGAGCCAGCACACCCAGAAAGCCAACTGTATCCTGGGCTGCATCCAAAGAAGTGTGGCCAGCAGGTTGGGGGGGGTGATTCTGCCCCTCTGCTCTCGTGAGACCTCATCTGCAGTACTGCATTCAGCTCTGGAGTCCCCAACACAAAAAGGACGTGTTGCTCCTGGAGCAGGTCCAGAGGAGGACCACAAAGAAGATCCGAGGGCTGGAGCCCCTCTCCTACAAAGACAAGCTGAGAGAGTTGGGGCTGTTCAGTCTGGAGAAGAGAAGGCTCCGGGTGCTCTTATTGCAGCCTTCCAGTACTTAAAGGGAGCCTACAGGAAAGCTGGAGAGGGACTTTTTACAAGGTGATAAGACAAGGGGCAATGGATTTAAAGTGAAAGAGGCAAGATTTAGATTAGATCTAAGGAATAAATTCTTCACAGTGAGGGTGGTGAGGCACTGGAACAGGTTGCCCAGAGAAGTTGTGGATGCCCCATCCCTGGAAGTGTTCAAGGCCAGGTTGGATGAGGCGTTGAGCAACCTGGTGGAGTGGAAGGTGTCTCTGCCCATGGCAGGGGGTTTGGAACTAGATGTCTTTGAGGTCCCTTCCAACCCTAACCATTCTACGATTTTATGATTACAATGTGGGTTATAAAAATCTCACAAGAAAGGCAAGATGACTGTGATCTAGTTTTGAGAGCTGGCCATGAAGAGAAATAGCTTGCTACTGGAGCAAGTTCAGACCTCAGTAAAAAGCTACTTCCATTTGCCACATATGTCTTCATAGTCACTGTTACTCTGAAAAACGCAGCTGACCTGAGACTCCCAAATAATTCAAGTGATGCTCATTCACCAGTCAGCATGCATTTTCT